ATACTAGGTGCAAGCAACGTGCAATGCACGTTTGCCTAATTTATATTTAATAGTTTTGTTTAATAATTAATTTGTTATTAATAAAGATGTAATTTTTTTAGTTAATTAAATAATTAATGATGTAATGTTTATATAATTGTTAAATAATTAGATGTGTGATTTTGATATTGTGATGTAAGTTGATGAGATCGAAGAAAATAAGCAAAAGTTGACAAATTTGGAGAAAGTGCTAAATTGTAGGGATTCAAAGTTCGGGAACTAAAATGTAAATACTTAAAAGTTGTGCCGAACCTCACGATAAAGATTTGAGAGTGCTCGGAGTCAATTGGATAAAGGAAGACGTCAATGGAATCAAATTCAGTCAAAAGATGATTACAAATCAATTTCCAAACGAAAAGTTATGCTCCGATATTTTAGTCTCATATTAAGACCTATTTTTGGCATAGAATGTGATCGAATTAGAGAATGATTTCTGAATCAAAGTTGTAGCCAGATGAGTTAGCTTTCCAACGCATTTTGAATCGCCTCAATCTGATATCGGAATACAAAGTTATGATAAAAACACTGAATGAAGGTGCAACTGCCTGTTTAAAACAAGAAATTCCATTACATAGTCCGTTAAAACAACAAATTTCATTAGTTTTTCCGTTAAAAACAAGAAATTCCGTTACATAGCCACTTTTAATATATAGAAGATATATATTTGAAACTCTGCATACTTTTAACACTTGAGTTGCACAAGTGTAGTACCTCGTTGATTGTGTACTTGCATAAAAAGAAACTTTTTGCTTGCAAGATTTAAGTACATCACAACTATACAACATACTCCGTAGTTCGTCTCATTCTAACCATATGATCTATTTCAATCTTCACTAGAAGCATGACCTAACTCAATTTGCATTGCGAGTCAAATAAAATAAACTTCGGTGTAGGTTAACATTCAACCCATTATAACATAAAACTAACAACTTAAGCTTGTAGTGTGGCTTACCTCATGCTTTATCTTGAGTTCAAGAAAATAATTGAAAGCAATTATCTCTATGAAAAGAAGATACTTCGACAACAAAATGAGTAACTTACTTGATACCTATTCTTATCAATAGAAAAATTACTCATTTTAAAACTTCTGATTTTCTTTAATAATTAGACTTTTTAAGCTCCGCCAAACATGCTTACGGTCTTGAATATTAATTCCCGAACACATAGCAAACACGTGGCAAGTATTGATTCCCACACCTAATGTAAAAAAAAAATTATAAATGCAACCAATATTGGCCCCGTTTGACACCCATTATTTTGAAGAATGAGTTTTTGAATAGTGATTGATGTAAAGAATGTGTGGTTAAAAAGTAAGAAGAATTTTTGGGTTTATGTGTAATATTATTTTATTGAAAAATGTGTGATTAGAAATGAGTACTGTAGAAAAATGAGAATGAGATAAAAAATTTATGTCAAACAGGGGCATTAACTCAGTTTACAATTTAATGAACTGAAAAGCCATCAATTAATTAAGAACTTGAAAAAATAACTCCACAACTGTGCATCTTTTTATCTTGACGTGTGAACTCTGTGAAGTCACAGAGAAAGAATGCAGCAAAAGCACGTGCTCAATCTGCTACCACTTCTACTCATTTTAAACTTCTTTTTCACTTTTTTCTTCCTTGCTTTGAGCTTTAGGCCTCTCATTGTTTCAACAGTCGGAGCCCGGCTTCTAAATCCTCCAATGTTATCGTAAGTAAATCATCAGAGTCTATACAATCGAAATTGAGTCTCAAATCCAAATTTTCTCTCGCGTTTACGAGCATTGGATTGACTAAACCTCCATTCATCTCCTTGCGCTGCTTTTCACTGGTTTCTCGTTCTATAACTTCCACAATACCATCTACACTACATGAAGGGTGCAACTTAAATCCATATAACAAGCTACTCTCATCTTGTTTAGACATTTTAAGATGAAGAATCTTGGCAAGGTCTTCAGAATTAAAGTCATCAAAATGAAAAAACTTGGTGACCCTTCTGTTGAAACCTTCATTCGAAGATATTACACGCTTCATTGGTTCACTATAACCTGCAAAAATTACTACGATTTTTCCACTGTCCATGACAGACATTATCTCTTCTAATGCTTCCAATCCATAGTCTTTATCATCAGCCTTCTGCATAGGTATCAAACGGTAGGCTTCATCTACGAATAGAATGCCTCCCTCGCCTTCTTGGATCTGGAAACATCTAGCAAAGGTTAGTTGCTAATCAATGGTTAAAAAGGCAAAATCAAGTTACGGAGCATTCTGCCTCCGCAAGGCTTGCGTAAGCATCAATGCAAACCATAAATAGTTCAAAAAATTATAAACATGCAAAATTATACATGTAACAAACCATAAACTATTCAAAAATGTTAAGCATTTCGACAAACTAGTTGTTTGACTTGAAATATCATTACATGTTGCACCTCATAAATAATCACAAGAAGATATAAACAGTAACGAATAAAACAAAAATCAGAAGTAAAGAGGTCATACCTTTCTCCTAGTCTTTGGCCCTGTATGACCAACAAACTCGCCAACCAAATCTGTTCTCTGCACTTCAGTTACCCTGTCTGTAGGAAGAATTCCCACCATGTGAAGTAATTTTCCGAGGATCCGAGCAACCATGGTCTTACCTGTAAATAAAAAGGAAAAATAAAATAAAATGAGAAAGCACACCATAAAATCTAGAGAACTCTCAAACTATCTCAGTATGGGTAAAATTTCACTGAAAACAAGAAAATCATGAAAAGTTAATGATTTCCAAAATTTGAAGCCTTATAGAACAAATATGCTACATGAATGTCTTCGAACTAAAACTTGCAAGGTTTTAGTAAGAATTTAGACTACAAGGACAGGATACCTGTTCCTGGATTTCCAAGAAAGGCCATGTGAGGAGGTCTTCGGGGTCCAACTTTCAGGCCGAGGGCATGGCGTCTCTCATCTAAGAGCATCCCTTTTGCCCATTTCCGAAGTTGTAATTTAAGTGAATGTAAGCCCACAATGTTTGATAATTCATTTTCAAGCGCATCCATCTTCGTTTTCGTCTCACTGCATGCTTCAATAGCTCTATGTTTCCGCTGCTTTTCAAGATGCTTATGGAGTAGTTTACGCAATTTCTCGTTTCCTTGGCCTTGAGAGAGATGATTTAGAGGAGTCATGCCCTCCTGCATTAGTATGATATATAATTAACAGCAATCAAGAAAGTATACATAAGAGCAGTTAAAAATTAGTAAATTAAAACAAATGATACATTAAAAGAAAACAAACTATACATTGTCTTCAGTGCTGCCATCAGCATCATATTCTAACAATGTTTTGACGGTTGAGTAGTCTTCAGATCGAAGTGAGTGCCAGACAGCCAGATGCAAAGGAGTCATCCCATTCTGCCAGAAAGATTTCCAAATAAAATAAGTTGAAACACCTTTATAAGAAAGTTACATGCAAACTTTAATTAATGTTGAAACTGAATACAAATATGAGAAGCAAAAGACTTACATTAGCTTTGGCTTCAACAAAAGCACCACGAGCTAGAAGCATCTTTACAGGTTCATTACACCCGTTCTTAGCAGCCATATGCAATGGAGTCTCTCCATACTGCCAAATTTAGTAAAATGCAACTATATAATGAGATCAAAGGAATGGATTCATTTTATTCAGAAAGAGAGTAAAACAGCAGTGCACATTACAAAAGGAGAAACTTACACACCATGTTCTTGGCCTCCAATTCGACATTTTCGACTCCTGGCCAATCAAGAAGAAATTTCATTATCTCAACATTATTATAACCAGCAGAAACATGGAGTGGTGTCTGTGCCATCTGCAACATAGCAAATTGGGAGATATTACAATCCAAATTGAGCAATTAGTTTGTGTTGAAAGCTTAATTTATGTGAACAAATAAAACTGCACTTTGTAGGCGATTTGGTGAGTCCAAGTATAGTACAGAGAGAAAAACATATATTTTGGAAATAATGATATGCCAATTGCCATGGTTGTCTTTTCATGAAAATAGAAGCTTCCAATAAGAGAAACGAAATAAATGCAACCCCAATTCTATTAGAGCAAGAGGAAGCTATATATCAAATCCAAAGATTGTGATTGCATTGTGCAAAATTATTATTCATGCGAGAATAAAATCCGTATACACGTAAAGGACACAAAATATCAAACCTTTACCCTTGCCAAAATGAAAATTAAGGGTCTATTTGATATAATTTTGTTAAGAATAGATTTTGCGAAGAGTGATTTTTTTGGAAAACAAATGGTTAACAAGTAGGAAAGTTAAGGGTCCACGTGCAAAATTATTTTATAGAAAGACTGTGCGATTGAAAATGAGTTTGGGAAAAAAATGAGTTTTAAAGAATATGTACCAAACAAGGGTAAATAAAGTTCTGCAATGCCACAGATATTCTGTGTCATAGGAAGATTCCTTTAAGATTAAAATGCAGCCTCGTAAAACAGAGATTAGACTTGCTATCGATTGTTGGTCTTAAAGGACGGGATGGTCAAGAGATAAACAAAGTAGAATTGAGGACGCTAACGTAGATGCAGGTCATAGTAGAAGGAACAAGATAAGACGTGAGAAGATACACTAACAAATGGAAGTGGCACAACTGAGATAAAAGCAGAGGCGACACTTATTGAGAATAAATTAAGATCATTTTGACTTAGGCGAGTGAGGCATCTTGGTAGAACAGGTTTAAAGTGGGATGGGGCAAACAAAAACAAAGAGGTCCATTGTAGTTACTGGGAATCTTCAACTAGGTATAGCAATCAACAGTATGGGGTCACAATCTCAAGTAACCGGTACCAAATTTATTAGGAATAAGACTTTAATTTCTGTCGTAAGTAACGGAAAAAAGGTAAGGCAAAGAAATGGGTCGATGAATAACTAAATAATGAAGGTCGAAGAAAGAATTGCATTCTTATTGTCAAGGTTCCACATGCAAGAGTCAACACGGACTAGAATCACTAATCCAACCTCGTTATGCTAGCACAAGGCTTCAATGAAAGATGAAAATCCATAGCACACTGTCGACGTCCACAACATAATGACTTCGTTTATCATATTGTCATATATCCCCCAGAATTCACTTCACATCACGACACCATCTTCATTCCCTGGCCACCAACTTGAAGCTCATCTTCATGCATAATTACCCACCCTAATCCCCATCCCAAGCCCAACTTAAAGATCATTAATGATTCACTATAAAGAAATCTTCACAGACCCGTCATCTCGTTGTTGTCACCATACAATCATATACTAAATTTCTCAGTGATGGAAACCATATCAAATCTTGCCCTTTGGCGGCCAAATGCATCATAGTTCAAATGCACAAATGTTATGCATCTGATCACATGCTATTATCTGCATCTTACAGGAACAAGAGCATGAAGTCCAACACGAAATAGAACAAGCCTTATAGATCTTGGGAATTTCAAATTTCACCAACGGAAAGAAATTGAATGTGGCTTCAAATATTTGCAGTTGCAGTCACTTGCAGATTAAAGATTTCCTTCTTCAGACAAGATTGCAATCAGAAGTTGCATAAATAAAGCAAACCCGAAATCCCAGATTCATTAATTTATATCTATCCTGAGCCGAGGAAACTTAAAAATGGAAATTCAAAAGAAAATCTTGTTCTTGATAAATCATCAAGATCCTCAAATCGAAAGAAAATTCCCTTTCTCATGCCCACATTAACCACACAAACATATACACAGAGAGAAAGAGAGCTTACAACGGGATTTCTGTCATTAAGAAGAGAATGGTTGTCTCGAAGTAGCTTTTGAAAGGCAATGAGATCTCCATACTGTGCAAAGCCATGGATGGTGGTCGGTCTGGAGAATCTTGACCGTTGATCCTTCACCTTGTGCATTTCCTTTTCTTCAATAATCTCTTTCCTTCCTCAGTTACAGAAAATAACAATCACAAACAAAAGAAGAAGAAAAACAAGAAATGGGAAATGGAAGAGAGAAATGGGGAGAGAGAGATTTTTGTGAAATTTCAGATGATTTTCTTGAAATGAGTCATTGGTAGTCAGGCAAATGGAATCGTGAAATACACCGCCTCAAATGGCGCGTTGTGAACGAGATTCGTAACTCGTGGGACCCGCGTTGTTCGATTCTTCTGAATCGTACAAATTGTGCCAACTCGGATACTATTCAGTGACCGCTGTTTTTTTTTTTTCTCCTCTGCTGTCTCTCTCAACCAAACGAAAGAATAAAAAAAACAGAGAAAATAAATAAATGCTCCTCGGGGCACATCCAAGTTGGTGGAACAATTGTATTTGTGAGTTCGTAACCCCATCGTGGAGAGTTCGATTCCTGGAAGGCACGAGTCTTTGAAGGGGGATTTTCTCAAAGGCAAGGCAATGACTAGAAGGCAGTGAGGGGAGCTTTCTTGGGGTCAGGAGTATAAATGGTGCAGGAACCTGTGAACCAATAAGGGCATAACCCGCAGTTTACCTCCTCAACTCGCTGAGGAGCCGGTGGCTAGAAGTTCAGGATTTAGTCTGGTTAAACTAGGATACCTGGGTATAAAAAAAAAAGGAGCTTTTTTTCATAAGAAATTTGAGGATAATTTTAATAAAAATATATTTGAGTAATGAAGAGCTTTTATTTATACTAGTAAGACGCACGTACATTATAGTTGGCTATATGATAGCGTAAATATAAAAAAAAATTATTTGTCTTAATCATTAGTTACATTAAGTTTAAAACACTTGGAATGATGATAGGTGACAAAAATAATATTAAGAGATTTGATTCAAAACTTATTTTCTAGACTTTGAGTTTGAAGGTTTCTCTGTTATTTAAAAAAAAAAAAAAAAGGAAATAGATGATTAGGTGTTGATGCCCTGTTAAAGAGATAATGAAGTTCAACCTAACCCTCATTTTTCTACCTATTGAGGTAAGACATTATGTTTCCTTCATCTCGTGCTCATAAAATCTCCAATTATATGTATCAGTTGAAGTATTTAATTTCTTTACCAAGACCCTATGCAACATGTTGTAGTCAAGACTAATTAATTAATGATAATACA